TTTTCTCTTAGAGAACAATAACAAACCAACAAAATCCTTCCGCCACTGTAAATTATTCTTTTTAATCATCTCGCTTACGCTTGCTCCAAAGCCAGTCCTTTGGATTTCAGCTGAGAGGCATGTGGCCGAGGCACCGGCAATCTGCGTGCCAAGACGCCAGACCTTACTTAGTCGAAGTCAGCGCTCCCCTTCTGTCTGCTGGGTCCCGCGACCCAGAAGGGGGCTGGTACAGGCCCAGAGCGGAGCTCGCGTCCCAGATCTCCCCTGGCTCCCGCGGTGGCTCCTTGGGGCCTGTCCCCGCGGTCTGCCCTGGGCTCCCGGAGCCCCTCGGTCGGTCTGGACCCTCCAGGGGCAGGTTCCCACGGAGAACTGGCCTTCCCTTGCAGCTGGCTTAGCTGAGAAGGCGGTGAGAGACGCGTCAGCAGTTTGGAGGAGAAAGTGCGGGTTGATTATTGACCCACGCCTTCTTTCTTCAAATGCCACATCCGACCCGGCGGGTGGAAGAGAAAAGGCCGCGGAGCGCATTTCTGCAGCCTGCTCTCACCTCCTACACGGCCGGCTCCCCCTTTCAAGTTGCGCGGCTGCGGTATGCCATAAGGAGCAAGTGCTTGCTGTTTTGTGCTCTGTTTACAGCTTTGGGGCTCCGAGTCATAAATCTTGCCCGGCCATAAATGACAAAAACCATTGGTATGCATGAGGCCACCCTGGCCCCGAGTGCTTTTTGATTTCTCCCTTTTCCCTTGGCTTTGTTTTTGCTCTAAGGTGACACTTTGGCTCCCTGACAGTTTAAACATGCTACTTATATTTTTAACACCTTCCTTTGAGAAGGCCCCGCCGTTCTCGCCTCAGAACTGCACTCCGAGCTCCATTTTTCTCTATTGCCACACTGAAGCCGCTGCAGTTTGCTTCGTAACCTGGGGAGCTGAGGGCGGCTTTGGGAGGCATGCCATCCTCTCCAAAGTTTCGGCAATGTAGGTAGCAGAGGAAGGGCCACTCCATTCTTTAGAGTGCCCGTGTGCTTTGGGGTTAGAGCCTGATCCACCTTTGCTGTGGGTGAGCTGCGTGTCTGTTCTGCGTGTCTGTTCTGCGTGTCTGTGCTGTGCAATGGGCACACAGGAGAGCTGGAGATCAGGCTTCTAGGCACCCTGTGCCTGAGGCCAGCGCAGCCCATTTCACTGCTGGGACAAATGTGCATCTACCCCAGGACACTTGCCCTCCTGTCTGCCAGGATGTCAACAGTTTCTGCCTAAACATATAACCAAAGACTGCCCAGGTGGCTTGTTAGGGAGGTCTGTGGAGAAGAGCCCTATCCCAACACCCCACGGCATTTTTAGGGTGCCTGGATTGGGAGCGGCCGATGAAGTAAACTGTCCAAAGTCTGGGGAACTCATTTCTGGTTCTCTTTCCCCTCACCCCCCCAGTGTAGATGTCCAGCCAGGGCAGAGGGTTACGTGCTTTCTTAAACGAATTCTTAAGAAATAGAGCCCGGCCAGAGAGCCCCTTTGTGAGCGCCGTTTGTCCTCATTAGCATAATTTTCCTGGACTTTAGTGACGCCCAAGAACGGGGAGAGGGAGGGCGTTGGGGGTGGGGGAGGCTGCCATCCTCCCGCCGCCGCCGCCGCCGCCGCCGCGCTCGCTCTCTGGCTCCCGCTCCTCCGCTCGCCTCAGCCCCATCCCCCACGCCGGCCCGCGCTCCCTCAGCCGCTCCGGTCTCCCCTCCCGCCCGCACCAGCACCCCCGCCGCACCCTCGCCCAGACGCTGCTCCGCGTGTAATATTCATAAGAAACATACCCAAGTCGGTGCCACTAGCCCAGGCAGAGCCCCGCGCCGCGCTAGCGCTTATCTCCCGGCCGCGGCTGCTGCCCTCTGGAAGGGCAGGGGGCGGGGGTGTGGGGGAGGGGTGGGAGGGTGGGTGGGGTGGGTGGGAAGGGGGGGGTCCAAGCCGCCCCAGTCCGCCCTGGGCGAGCCGTGCCGGAGCAGCGAGGCGACCACGCTCTGCGCGGCGGCGTCCGGGCCTCGGGGTCTCCCGCCCGCCTGCCGTCTCGGCTGATGCTGAGGGTCGGTGCCCATCCCGCGCCGAGGGGACACGGCCGGGCCGCGGAGCCGGGCCGGGGGCCGGAGCCCGAGCCTGCCTGCGCTCGCGGCGCTCGTCAGAAGTTAAGGTAAGCAGGGCCACAACCGGCCGCTCCCAGCGCTGAATGGTGGAGTTTACGTCTCGGTGATTTATGGCTGCAGACTTAAATCTCGGTTCAAGAAGAGTTCACAAGCCGGAGCTTCCTTCCCGGCAGTGACTGATACCCTTACACTTCGAGTTCAGGCCGCTTTCCCATCCCCGCCCCCACTCTCCCCGCTCCCTTAGCCCAACCTCAACTTTTCGGGGTCGGAGAGAGAGAGAGGAATGGACCGGGGACGCTAGGGTTCTTCCTGGATTGTCCGCTCTAACTCGGGGTGAGGGCAGGCTAAGGGGGGGGAGTGGAAAGAGGGAGCGGCTTCTGGAGGAAGGAGGTGGAATTTGGGCATACCTTGCAGAAAGACAATGGGGCTTGCTTCCTGCTCTCCATTTAGCCTCCTCCACTCTCTCGCAGCTCCTGCACCTGGGGGTTATTGTCCAGAAACAGATCTTTGCGGAGGAACCTCTCTCCCCCTCTGCCCTTGCTTGGGGGTACAAAGGAGTTTCCTCACTGGCAGATCTCCAACTTCTTCACTAGGTTGCAAACTTTGGGGGCTGCCTTGTGGGGGAAATTGTGTGAGCTCCAAGGTGATTGTCTGCCGACCTCAAACAATACAAAGGACTTTGGTGGGGTCTCTGAGTCGAATTCACATTTTAAGTTTATGGGGGCTGCCCTGCGCACTCTGATTTTTAAAGATATTTTTGTTATCTTCCAAGCCAATGTATACATTGTTGAAAAGGCTTAAGTAAGCAGCAGGCCGGTATAGCCTGTGATAATGGATTAGCAGGTCGCTAGAAGTATTGCATGTTCAAAATCAACTTAATTTTGTTTTATCTAATACCTTGTTGTTCAAGTGTCTAGAGTAATTTTCTTAACCTGACGTTTTATTTTACACAAGCCTGGTATCTAAAAAATTTATAATGGCAGACATTAACACTGCCAGATGTAATAGGGATTGTTTTCAGTGAAAGAACAGGAAACCTAGACATTAACTTGCAATTCACTTTTAGATTTTATTTATTTTATCCTTTATTTGCTCTCCACTGTGGTATCTGTAGCTTCCTATCTATTTCTAAAAGAGAAACAATACTACAGGGCTCAGGACCATGCACAATAACTCTGGATAAGGGAGGCTGTAATTTTTAATTGAGGTTCTGGAAAATTAATTGTGCCTGTTTTACAGCTGTTGGTCAGATTGTTGGTTTAATAATGAAATCTAAAGGAGTCCGTTATTAAAAACAAAATTATCACCCACTGGTAGATGCTTATTATATATCTATTTTCTAGTTAGCATCTGCTATTCCTGGAAAACTTGAATAACTGTGATTCTATATACATAGTTGGGGCATGAAGTATAAAGCGTTTTCTTCATGGATTGGTCATCATAATTTTCTTAATGGTCAGAGGAACTAACAGAAATTCTGAGTGTGCATGTACATATGTGAGTATATGAAACTCCTGTGGAAACTTTTCTTGCTGAGAACTAGAAGTTGACCATGAAAAGGCTGAAAACAAAAAGGAAACATAGATTTCACTTCTTCAAACTGCTTTTCTAAATGAAAGAGAGTTGAGCTGGTTTTGAATAGCTTTTTAGATTTTCAGTGTTACCCTTTACTTGGTGTTTCTGAAGCAGGTAAATAGGCCAAGTAACAGATATCAACAACAGCAGCACACAAAGATCAGTGATCTCTGGCAGGATTTTATGGCTTGTGCTTCCAAGCCTCGTCCGGAGCCAAATGACCCCCATACATCAAATTACATAGCAGTTTCTAAGACAGAACCTATTATCGTTAAGTTGGAAAGAGAGTTCAAGCCGTGGTCATGGAGATGAACGCTGGTTTTTCAGGTTCCTGGTGGGTTTTTTTTTTTTTCTCTAATCCATCATGTTTTAACAGGTAGAATTTGATAGTTGCTCTGAATAACAGCACCTCAGAAAGTCCAAGGCAGGAGTCTGGCAACCTTCTGTAACTGGGAGAAAGAACTGGTGGATGGCTTGCTGCAAAGTGTCTGAGAAATAGGGAGAGGAAAAGAATAAAGAACTGTCCAGGATTTGAATTGCTGGATGGGGGGGGGTGTTCTTGGTCTTTCCCTAACACACACATACACACACCCCTGTGTTCCACACAAAGTTTTTTCTCCCCCCTTCTTGACCACAAGGGGCTCATTTGGAGGAGGCTGGTCCTATCCCTGAACAGGGCAGGTTAACTGCCTAGCATGCTTAGCTTGAAATCCAGCATGGTCTGATAGGGTAGTTGCCTAAAAAATGTGCAAACCTCTTTTGAGGGCAGGAAGTTCCAAGAAGGGACTGGATGGGAAGTCACCCCATCTCAGAGCTCTTTTGGCAAATATGAGCCCTAAAGTGGGGATTGGAGAAAAAAATTGGCAACCCAGGCTCTCTGCCTTTTGCCGGTTCTTCAAGATCCGCAGAAGGGAGAGTCTGAGGCTGTCTGGATGATGCCAAGGAATGGAATACCATGTTTCTTCTTCTTTGGAAAAGAAAGAGCCCAACCTTTTTCTCCCTAGCCTACAAAGCCTTTCTCCCTTTGGACCTCAGCTCCAGAGTCCCGGCTTCCAGCCTTCACTCATTCTCCATCTCTCTCCCCGGAAAATCCCCCAACTCCAGACGCAAGTTAAGCAAATATTTGTAGCTGCCAGTAAATTCCAGCAGCTTTTTATAGCGCGGCTCCCTGCGCTCGGGGCCAAGTCGTGCTGCTAAATATTGCTGACCACTTTTTCTTTTATGGCTTTCATGTCACTTAGCTATTGAGAGTAAGATGGATTTGCGCCGAGCGCTCACGGCGCTGCACTTCTTGCCCCCCCTCCCCCAGGTCTGCGCGGGGCGGCGATTGGCGGCGGAGCGTCACGTGACCGCGGGGGCGTGCCAATGTGCGCCCTCACGGGTGTCAAGCCCCCGTCAGAGTGTGCGATCAAGATCGTGAAACAACGCGATGCAAAAAGCGACCTACTACGACAGCTCGGCGATCTACGGTGGCTACCCCTACCAGGCAGCCAACGGGTTCGCTTATAATGCCAATCAGCAGCCATACGCGGCGTCCGCCGCTCTGGGCGCCGATAGCGAGTACCACCGACCCGCCTGCTCACTCCAGTCGCCAGCCAGCGCCGGGGGCCACCCCAAGGCCCAGGAGCTGAGCGAAGCGTGTCTACGCACGCTGAGCGGCCCCCCCAGCCAGCCCCCGGGTCTAGGCGACCCGTCTCTACCCCCACCTCCGCCCCAGGCAGCGCCCCCGGCCCCACAGCCGCCCCAGCCCCCACCACAGCCTCCAGCACCCACCCCTGCAGCCCCACCGCCCCCTCCTTCTATCTCCCCCCATCAGAATGCCAGCAGCAACCCCACCCCTGCCAGCGCAGCCAAGAGCCCCCTGCTCAACTCGCCCACCGTGGCCAAACAAATCTTCCCCTGGATGAAAGAGTCGAGGCAAAACACAAAGCAGAAAACCAGCGGCTCCAGCTCAGGTAAAAGGGTGCCTTCTGCAGGAGGGTCCTCTGGCCTGGCTCCTGGACCCCAAGCCACTTCCAGCCAGTCAGGGAACACCAGAGCATTTCCAAAAATTAACTGCTTCCCCCTACCCTCAAAGAAAAGGTGTCAAGCATCTTTGCAACTCTGGGAGGTGATAAGACCTCTGTGGACAGGAAAGTCTGTGGATGAGATGTCTCTGTACCTTTTCAAAGACATATGGAGCCTAGAGCCTAGTAAAGTTGAAACCCCCTTTGGTCTATTCTTGTTGGACTTCTGACCTCTAATCAGAACCATCCAGAGAACCACTCTCTTTTAGTATAGCTCCTCTATTCTAATGAAGCAGTGACATCCTTCCCATACTGAAATGTGGCACAATAAAAGCAGGCCTAAATGTCCTTCAAGTCAGAATCAATGCTTTGTGTATAATCAGAGCCAAATTTTGCTCCAGCAGATGGAGTGGCTGCCTTACCTCTGGGAAGGCCTTGCTCAGTCTTAACTACAATAGAGGCAGCCAGGGATCTCCTGGGGGAAGGGATTCAGCTTGTCATCCTAATGGGAACCACATGGGCCTCTTGGAACTGGACTCCAGTGAAGGAAAGGCCCCAGGCCTTGGACTTCCTAGCATCTTGGTTACCTTTGCCCCTGCCTTCTCCTGTTGCCAGTGCTCTACTCTATCTGAGCCTGAGCATCTGGGACCTGTAGAGCCAGGATTTGGCGGGAAGGGGAACACCAGAGTGGTAGGTAATGCTGGGGGCAGTCTACTTAGTAACATGGGGAGCCCTAATGAATAGGACCATCGAGAGTGACCTAGATCTCCCTGCCAGAAATGGATAGTTTCAATGGGATCTCCTCTTTGGGGGCAGAGAAAGCCTTCCAATAGGAGTTTTCCATTCTGCCCACTTCCTGGGTAAATTTAAAAAGTGGCCAGTTGAAGTTACTGACTAATCGTTCAGACAGTGAGGTAGGGAAAAAGTGTGTATATTAGGTGCCCCACATTTCAGCTACTGCAAAGAGAATAAAGATGGTAAGACCTGCCCACAGGAAGCTAGTTTTCTGATGGACCTAAATGACCAGTAAATGTGTTAGAAAGTTAAGTTATAGAAAGGAAATACAGATCAGGAAGGCCAACTGGGATTCTGCTTTTCTGTCCTTTTCCCCTTGGAGAAGCCTTTGATTTGATGCTTAGCTGAAGAAAGGCTTGGTACCTACTCGATTTTCCCCATCGAGTACCTAATTCCTACTCCTCTGTGGGTCCTGGAGGGGATCTTTGGGGCCTGCAGAAAGGAGGGGCCAGGCTGGGTCAGGAGCTGGGAGGGGCCGCGGGCAGCCCCTGACGCCGCTCTTCCTCTCTGTTCTGGCAGGCGAGAGCTGCGCTGGTGACAAGAGCCCGCCGGGGCAGGCTTCTTCTAAGCGCGCGCGCACGGCCTACACCAGCGCGCAGCTGGTGGAGCTGGAGAAGGAGTTCCACTTTAACCGCTACCTATGTCGGCCCCGCCGGGTGGAGATGGCCAACCTGCTGAACCTCACCGAGCGCCAGATCAAGATCTGGTTCCAGAACCGCCGCATGAAATACAAGAAGGATCAGAAGGGCAAGGGCATGCTGACATCGTCAGGGGGCCAGTCCCCAAGTCGCAGCCCCGTGCCCCCTGGCGCGGGTAGCTACCTGAACTCTATGCATTCGCTGGTCAACAGCGTCCCGTATGAGCCCCAGTCGCCCCCACCCTTCTCCAAGCCCCCCCAAGGAGCCTACGGGCTGCCTCCCGCCTCCTATCCGGCTCCCCTGCCCAACTGCGCGCCCCCTCCACCCCCACAGAAGCGCTACACCGCGGCGGGGGCGGGAGCAGGGGGCACTCCAGACTACGACCCGCACGCTCATGGCCTACAGGGCAACGGCAGCTATGGGACCCCACACTTACAGGGAAGCCCCGTCTTCGTGGGGGGCAGCTATGTGGAGCCCATGAGCAACTCCGGGCCGGCACTCTTTGGCCTAACTCACCTCCCCCACGCCACCTCGGCAGCCATGGACTATGGGGGCACCGGGCCGCTGGGCAGCGGTCACCATCACGGGCCGGGGCCAGGAGAGCCCCACCCCACTTACACGGACCTTACCGCCCACCATCCTTCTCAGGGAAGAATTCAGGAAGCGCCCAAGCTTACCCACCTGTGATGGTGGGCTGGGGCTGCGTGCCAGGAGAGTCCCCCGCCCCACCTTCCTTCTTTATCTTTTTTTTTTCCTTTCATTTCTTTTTTAGGTTCTTCCTGCCCCTCCCTTTTCTCTCTCCTCCGCTCTCCCCCATTCCTCCGTTTTGTTTGCATTGGTAATGCGTTTTTATAGTTTTATGTGACGTAGCAATCTTGGTTGCTGGAATAGCTGTCTGTAACAGTAGCGATATTTATCTCTTCCCGCCCCTCGCTGGGCCGCTGGCCCTGCATCCTAAACCTTCTCTACACTTTGATCAGAAACAGGGTATATGAACAAATTTTCTAGTCGAGTTTTCAATGTGAATTTGTTCGTACGTTATGGCTCCCGAGGGGAAGCAATTACGTTTTTGTTATTAATTTTTAGTTTTTTAAATTGCACTTCTTGTAACGAGCGAGAAAAAAAAATCAAAAGCGCTTTGAAACAGGGACTTCCCTGTGCAAGGATGACTAAGTGTACGTCTTTCCGTGTGTGTATGCTGGTGAACAGTCAGATTTATTTATATTTTTTTTGCAAGCATTGAATAGTCTAAGTTTTAAATATTATTTATCCTCATCCGTTCGTATTTATATTAAAGAAATTCTGTACCCTGATTGTTCAGAAGGTTTCTTGGGCCTTTTGTTCAATGGTGTATTGGCGTACATATAAAATTTATTTGAAAGGGAAATATAATTCCTTTATGAAAATGGTAATGATGCAATAAAACCAGAGAGGATCCAGCGTTTGAAAACAGTGATATAGGTTTGCAACATCCGGCAAAAGTAAAAAAAAAAACCTGTAAACACGAAAAATGCTAGATTTGTTTTGAGAGTTTTACATTCCTTGCTGCTCACATTCTGAAAAACAAAACAAAAAAATAAAGTTTTTATTCTGATTAATATCCGTGTTCAGAGGTGTTCTTTGGCTGGAGATGGGGGTCTGCGTGGACTCCAGGGAGAGGCTCGCTGGCAGAGTAGGTCGCGGCAGCCCTGCGGCTCTGGCGTGGGGCCTGGCCAGGCGGCTCTCCTGGAGCTCGGTGAGTTCCAGGGAAGAAGGCCGGGGTTCCGGGCGGCGACAGCTCTGGAAACATGGCGCGGCCGGCCCGCTGGGCTGCCTGGTTCCCAGCTGCCGCGGAGGCTGGCGAGGACCCTGGAGCTGCGGAGTGCAAGGCGCGCCAGAAACAAAGGCCGGCGGGCCAGCCGCGCGGCGGGGGGCGCACAGGTGCCCGGCAACCGGCGGGGAGAAAACTCTTTCACGCTCTTCCCTCGGTCAAAGCGGATCAGCCAACGCCTTAACCTCGGAGATCGCCGGCCAGCCGCGCGGAGGATGCTAAACACTTCCTAGCAGCAGTTGGACTCCTGGTCTCCAAAGCGGATGCCCGGCGGTCCATTATGGCTCCAGGAGGAAGGAATATCCTAAAATCGCCAAGCAGAGCGAAGCAGTTCCAAAGGAACCGAAGCTCCAGCAAAAGCAGGACTTGAGTTCGGGAATGTCTCCCTGAGCCCCTGCTTGGACTGGAAGAAATCTCTTCCTTGAATCCCAGCATCAGTTTCCTCCCGGAATTTAGCATTTGCCATTCTCTGGATTTATTTCCTCTCCTTCTTCCCTCCCAGCTTTCTTTTTATGGCCCGGGGGGGTGAGAGGGGGAGGGGGAGAGAGAAAAGAGATTGGTATCTTTCTAATAAAAATGCAATTGTATAAGTACTTCTTTCATTTGATGCTACAGGAGCTAAATATTACATTTCCACTTCTGAATTTAAGATAGGGCTGCCTAGTGACTGGCTGACAGAGGCAAAATCACGCACAGTAAAAGGAGAATATTTTCATCTTAAGATTAAAGAATTGCTGGGAGAAGGAACCAAATTCAGAAAATGCAAACCTCAGAACTGGATTCCGTCATCACTCCCCTCAGAGCTAGAAGTGAGGAACCGCCTGCGTCTGGGAACCAGGAGCATCTGATGTGAGAAATAAGCCCCCATTTCTCCCTGGATTGTATCTATTCAGAGACAAAAGTGAAAAATGTCGCCATTTTGTTTGCAATCCAAAATATCCATCATCATGATCTTTACCCGCAGCCAAGTTCCCTCAGAGAAACCTTAAAAGCAGGCACTGAAGCTATTTTTGGATCACTGCTGGGGACCCAAAAAACTGCTTTTGGGGCACCACTTCGTGTTTTAAGAAAAAGAAAAGGAATTCAAAGGATGCAAAGCCGCGTGGCTGCAGAGGGCTGGGTGTTTCACACCCAAAGGTGCTCTCCCCTCATGTGTCCTGCCGGCTCCTGATAAAGTACATTTTCAAAGAAGTTTGCCTGTGGTGGAAGTGAATTTGCTCCCCCCACCACAACCTCCATGCCAAAACACAGGGCGCACCTCAGAAATGCAGAGGCTGGAAAACCAGTCTGTGATGAGGCGCTTCTGCCTTTTGGCCTTTTGATTGTTCACGCTAAGTGGATGCAGAAGTCTTCATTTTAGAGACTTGTATAAAATTACCTGGGAAAATAAGGAATGGTGTTGGGAGTGAGGGGAGAGAGAGAGAGAGAGAGAGAGAGAGAGAGAGAGAGAGAAGAGAGACACTACCCTTTGAGGGATAGATTGCGCTCTTTAAAATGGTTTCGAAAACCTACTCTTTAGCTGAGAGAGGAATGAATGGTTTGGAAGCTTCCTCCTTCCCTCAGGGCAGAGATTGTAAAATGAGATTCTAATGTGATTTCCCATATCTTGCCAGTCAAGGCATTCATTTTAGCTTTCAAAGAAAAAATATTGATCTCACCCCCAGCTTCCTAGATATTAAAAAGAAATCCTTATTAAAATATCTCCTGAGTTAAAGTAATAGATTTGGGGAAGATTTCAGTGTTGAAAAGGGTTTTCTTCCAGATGGTATTTGAATTAAGGCAGCTGAGGGAGGCAGAAAGCTCTCACCCACGCAGCCCCTCACAAAGCCCACTGATGTAGAGGCAGCACTACTTTCTGCAACCCCTCCCCTTACCCTCCAATATTTTCCTGTGCCCAAAAGACATCATCCCAGAATCCACAAAGCACTTCTCCTAAAAACAGCCCTAAAACCCTTTGCGGTGCCAAAAATTATCTTTAAAAAGACTAGTTTTCCTTGTTTACTTGCGTTTCCTGCTCTCCTCTTTGCTCGGCCACATTTGATCTTGGAAAGAGCTCGAAGCTGAAATGTGTTCTTAAGGGCCAGAAGCTGTCAAGGCTTTTGGTGAGCAAGATTGATCGCACCCAGACTTCCTTCAGAGCTTTGTTTAGAATAAAAGCAAGAAAACTGAAAAACCTCACATTTTCCAAAATAGCATCTCTATCTGTAAGCCAATGCTATGGGTCGCTCAAGGTTGGAGGCCACTTTATATTTCATTTGCAGCCCAAACCCCCTTTGATGCCCGCCTCAGAAATGGAGTTCTGCCCTTGCTCCTTGGTCAGCCTTTCCTGATTTCTACGTAGATTTTTCTCCCCCACCAACCTCTCTTCTTGGCCATCAGAATGATTTATTTTCCTGCCACTGATGCCTGCCGGCCTGAGGGAGTCTGATCACTTGGTCCATTTCAAAGGAAGCAAAAATGAATCACCATCCTCAGGGTTTGGGGGGAAAAAAGAGGTATCTTCAACTCTCTCTCTCTCTCTCTCTCTCTCTCTCTCTCTCTCTCTCTCTCTCACTTCCCCTCTTTCTGGCTTGATTTTTTTTTTTAAACTTACTGTTTGGTATCTAAAGATGTTATCTTTTGAACCCTCCAGCACTATCCAAGGTACTCTCAATTTCAAGTCTTGGAATTGGAAGAGAGAGAGAATATGAAGAAGCTTTATAATTCCTCCTTGGGTCGTCCTCTCCCTCGCACCGCTGTTTCCCACAACAGAACCCGGGTGCAAACCTGCCTAGCGCCCAAGGAGCAGGAAGGTGTGGGAAGCAATTCAGGCTGCCAAAGAACACACTCTGCGTCTGAACCAACCAGCCCCCAGCCACAGCGACAAGGACAAGGATAAGAAGGGTAGGGGGGAAAGGAGAGAGAGAGAAACAAGCGTTTTCTTCCTCCCTGTTGCTAACTTCCAACAGACTTCCTGGAAATTGGAAATACTCACCGCACCCGAGCCCTACGGGTATGAAACCCAGAATGCCAGGAGCCGCACGCGCCTGCTCGGGGCGGCATTTCTTTGGCTGGCCGCCTCCTGGCTAAAGGGATTTGGACACATGGAACTAGGGTTGCTGTCTCGCTTGGCACATGCATCTATCTTTCTCCAGTCACTCCTGAGAAGTTGATGGCGCAAGAAGGTCGGGAAGCTCCGAGAGCCGCCTCCTGTTTTCCGCTTCCCGCCGGAGCCAGATGCAAAGCTGCCATGGAAAAGCCGGCTAACAATGGGCCGGGGGGCGCGGATTCCAGGCTGGACATTGAGAGGGGGGCGAGGGGCTGCAAGGGGGAAGGAGAGGCTGACAGGACAGAGAGTGGGAGGGGGAAAGGAGAGAAAAGGAAAAAGAAGAAAAGAGAAGGAGAGAGAGAGAGAGAGAGGCTAGTTCTGAGATGCAGGAATTAGGAAAAGTAGAGGAGGAAAGGGAAATAAAAGGAAAACCCAAAATCATCTTTTCTTCTCTTTTCTGTCTTCTTTCTTCTCTCTCTCTCTCTCTCTCTCTCTCTCTCTCTCTCTCTCTCTCTCTCTCTCTCTCTCTCTCTCCTCCTCCTCCTCCTCCTCCCTCTCTATCATCCCCTCACTCTCTCTCTCTCCCTCTGTTCCTTCCTCCTGCCTTAGCAGAACTTATGTGGCTGGGATGCGGGGCCCTCGGGTGTCAAAACTTTGAAGATTAATGGATTACTTTGTTAATGACTGCAGGCGTCAGACTGAGGTGCTTAAATGATTTGTGAGGTGCGAGGCGTCTTCCCGACAGTCTCAAACAATGCTGGGAGTGTGCGGGGGAGGCAGAGGGCAGCGGGCGGCGGGACCGGCAGCGGGGCTCACACTCGCGCACACTTACACACTCACACACACTCCCGGGCGCGCACAGCAGATCCTGGCTGATCAGGAGGCAGCCAGGCACCCTCGCCCCCACGCACTCCCGGGCATTCCCACCCACACCCACATATATGTATTTTTGCCTGGAAAAAAAGTGTAAATAAAGCCTCGCTGGCCCCCAATGAGGCGTTCCTTCCTGACTTTTTTGGATCAATCAAACAGACAGTGGCTTCTTTTGATTAAAGCCCAAATTGTCATTGGGCAGAAGCAATCATGTGACAGCCAATTCGGTCCAATTTCAACCTTGTCTCCATGAATTCAATAGTTTAATAGTAGCGCGGTCCCCATACGGCTGTAATCAGTGAATTAGAAAAAAAACACCCCAGCAGCGATCTTCTATGATAGATTTTTTTTTCCTCTGCGCTTGCCTTTTTCCTGGGCCTTGCCCCCCCAAAGCCCCTCCAAAAGAGGGAACTTTTTCTCCGAGGGGGCTCCAAGGAGAAGGCCATGAATTACGAATTTGAGCGAGAGATTGGTTTTATCAATAGCCAGCCGTCGCTCGCTGAGTGCCTGACATCTTTTCCCCCTGTCGCTGATACATTTCAAAGTTCATCAATCAAGACCTCGACGCTTTCACACTCGACACTGATTCCTCCTCCTTTTGAGCAGACCATTCCCAGCCTGAACCCGGGCAGTCACCCTCGCCACAGCGCTGGCGGCCGCCCCAAGCCGAGCCCCGCGGGCAGTCGCGGCAGCCCGGTGCCCGCCGGCGCCCTGCAGCCTCCCGAGTACCCCTGGATGAAGGAGAAGAAGGCGGCCAAGAAAACCGCACTGCCGCCTGCTGCTGCCGCCGCCGCCGCCGCCGCCACGGGCCCTGCCTGCCTCAGCCACAAAGGTCAGTCCAAAGACTTGGCCCCAGATGCCCGGGACCCTCTCCCTCTCTGGGCTGCCCGGAGAGCGGCTGTGGGGGGAGGGGAGCGTGGGCTGCGAGGGAAGGGGGAGAGGGAGTGATGCCTGGTTGCCTTTCCCTTGCCCCTGTGGGCTCAGGAGTGCGTTTGATGGAGAGGCAAAGGGATCCTGCGTTCCACAAAGAGACATATATTTTTAGGAAGGGGGGGGAACTTTCCCTAACTTGTGTAATGTGGGATGATTTATTTGCGTTGGAACTGACCTCCTCTTGTCTAGTTGTCCTAGAGTTTGGCTTTTTGACAGTAATGAAGAGTGATAGATCGCTCTTGCTCAGCTAAGCAGCTGATGCATTAATTATAAATTGTGTTGTGGCTAATATAAAGTTTTCTCCCGGATGAAGAGGTTGGGGGGGAGCTACAGGCAGGAATTTGAGAGAGGTGGAGTAGATGAGGTCTCCCCAGGCTGGGCTCCCAGGAAAAGGCAGCACAATAGCTCTACTGCATCCAGGGGCGGCCATTTTGTTGCAGTTGATCTTTTCTGCTATATTTATTCTCCAGTGGAATAACCCCGCTCGGACCCCTCCACCTCCAACTGTGCGTGTGTCTCTTGTTGGTTTCCCTTTCCACAGAATCCCTGGAAATCGCCGATGGCAGCGGCGGGGGATCGCGGCGCCTGAGAACTGCTTACACCAACACGCAGCTTTTAGAGCTGGAAAAAGAATTTCATTTCAACAAGTATCTTTGCAGACCCCGAAGGGTGGAAATTGCAGCGCTGCTGGATTTGACTGAGAGACAAGTGAAAGTGTGGTTTCAGAACCGGAGGATGAAACACAAGAGGCAGACCCAGTGCAAGGAGAACCAAAACAGCGAAGGGAAATTTAAAAGCCTGGAGGATTCGGAGAAAGCGGAGGAGGACGAGGAAGAGAAGTCGCTCTTTGAGCAAGCCCTCAGCGTCTCCGGGGCCCTTCTGGAGAGGGAAGGTTACACTTTTCAGCAAAATGCCCTTTCTCAACAGCAGGCTTCCAATGGACACAATGGCGACTCCCAAAGTTTCCCAGTTTCGCCTTTAACCAGCAATGAGAAAAATCTGAAACATTTTCAGCACCAGTCACCCACTGTTCCTAACTGCTTGTCAACAATGGGCCAGAACTGTGGAGCTGGCCTAAACAATGACAGTCCCGAGGCCCTCGAAGTCCCCTCTTTGCAGGACTTCAACGTTTTCTCCTCAGATTCCTGCCTGCAGCTTTCAGATGCAGTCTCGCCCAGTTTGCCAGGTTCCCTCGACAGTCCCGTTGATATTTCAGCTGACAGCTTTGACTTTTTTACAGACACACTCACCACAATCGACTTGCAGCATCTGAACTACTAAAAACATTAAAGCAAAACAAAGCATCACAAAACAAAAACCCCCTTGATCAGGTGGTTTTGCCTTCTTTTATTCTGGGAATTGATTTTTGTTGGAATTTCTTCTTGACCTACCCCTACCCTTTAAGTGTTGAGGATTTTCTGTTTAGTGATTCCCCTGACCCAAGTTTCAGAGCCATCTCTGACAGATATGTTAATTTTCCTGAAAGCAATACATGAGGCCTGCAAGAAAGTGACCATAAATTGTACTGTCACTTTCTTTTTATTTTTGTATTACATTAGGATGCATTGTCATTCGTATTTTTGGTAGAATAAATTCTCCTTTGGTATAAGTAGCTTTCTTATTTTTTCTCCCCCTCTCTATCTTAAGGCCCATAATGGTTTCTTTTTCTTCTTTTAGTCTAACATGGTAAATAAAATTCTGGTCACAATTTACCTTCTTTTTCAATTTTAATATATTTATTAAGGTGGCATGTTCAAAGTCTTCAATAGACAGCAACAAAGGAGGAAGCCAGAAAATGGCTAGGGCTTCTGACAAGTGTTTTCTGGCTTTTTCCTTTTTTATTTTTTGAAGGGAACAGATTTAGTTTCCAGTATAGAGGCCATAGGTTTAAATTAGTAATAAAACCATGACTGGACAGCCTGAGTTGGGCTAAACCCAAGCTTTTGAAAGTGCCTACAGAAATCCCCAGCTCTAGGAATGAGCAACATGGAGTTTCTTTAACAAGCTACCAGTCTCTAGGTCAATAACTAAGTTATCAACAATTCATTTATTTGTGCACATTTGTTTAAAACATCTACATTCCAACCCCTCCCTCACAAATCCCCCACCCCCGCACATTTTCAGTATGGATGATTAATCTCTCAGTTGTTGATGAGTTCAGGCAAAACAGACCTAAAAGATAGAGAAAAACAAAATAAAACAAAACCATAGTTACTAGCTGGAAAATGCACATAAGGAAGGGTTCTTTCCATCACCTGGCCCAATCATTCTAGGATTCTTTTTTTTTTTCAGGGTTAGAAAAATCAATATTTCATTCTTAAACCTGTTTACATTGCTAATAATAGATCACTAAAGCTTTGAAGTCGGGTTAGCAAGCTGAGATTTCAAATGGTGAGTTTCTGCTTCCTAGATTATAAATTAACAGCTTCTTAGAAAAAGAGAAAAAGCACTTTAAATGAATTATCAATAAAATGTGATCTAGGGTGTGTTAATGAGTTGTTCTGGTCCCCCCCTTCTTCTGTCTCCCCATGTTTATTTTTCCCTTTCTGAGCTCTGTTCTGACGGCTACTTACTTACCGTGAGAAAAAAACAGCAACATGTGTGCGGGGCGGGTTGATTAAAGAACCCAGCTCTTAACTGCAAAGGCTTGGAAGTTGTAATGAAAGCGCGATCTCTCTTCAGAGGTTTTCCTTCCTACCTTCCCTCAGCCCTTCGCCTCCTAAGTCCCGCAGCGCAGGCAGCGTGGCCGCTCCCCGGCCCCAGGCTGAGCGCGGAACAGGGCGTCCCGGCTGTGGCCAGGGCTGCGCCACTCCTGGATGCGATTCGTCCTAAGCTCATAAATCAAACGCTTTCTATGAATGAGAATGTCATCAAAGAGATCAATTGCAGGAACACATGCACAAATAAAAATCCTCTTACGTATTTGCTGGGGATCCCCGTCCGAAAGCATTAAGTTAGAAGGCGTTTAGCCATAACTCATTTTTATTGCTCTTTTAAAACAACAGCTTGGCTGAGCCGCGGATGCCATGAACAGCTCCGGGCCTCGGCGGCGTTTTGTCCCCTCCTTCCCTTTCTAGTAGAAAAGCCCTGATAGAGGCGTTTTGAGCCGACCGAGCCGCTTGCAGACGATCATTTTAATAGTGACCAAGTTCGCCTTTTATCCCCTCTCAGGGGCTTTTAAAGAGACTTTAGCTCTCTTTTAAAGTGGGTCGCTGGCTCACTTGCTCCAAGGACCTAGGGTCTCTTAACACTGCGCAATGGTCCTCACGATTCTTCAGGGTGGGGGCTGGGAGGAATCCGAGCAAGGAAGCCTACGGGCTCGAGGCCTGGGAGGGCTGCCTTTGTGAGCCGCTCGGGAGAGCTGCGCTCTGGGCGGCCAGTGGAGGCCGAGACTGGCTGGGCAGCGAGGGCCCGGCCTGCGGGGAGCGGGGGGCGGGGTGTGTGTGTGTGCAGAGGCGGGATGGTCGCTGGCTTGCTTCTGCGGGCCGGTGGGCGAGTGCAAATTTGCGATCCCCAGGAAAACACTCCACGCAGGCTTCCCCATAAAGAGGCCAGGAGAAAGAGGTGGAGGGAAAGGAGCCAGAGGCCAAGAAGTAGCAGATAAGACAGAGCGACTGAGGGGTGGGGGCAGCTTTGTGGTAGGTGTCCTGTGGCCAGGAGGGCAGTGCAAATCCTGGCCGAGGGGGTCCACAAATGGTCAGAAATCAGGGGTGGTGTTGGCATGACTAGCTCAGGCTAGCCCGAGCAGATCGCCTGCACTGAAGCACAGATCCTCCTCACATCCTGCCTCTGCCCCAAAGTGTCCCCTTCCCCCCCACACTAGCTGAGGGCCTGGGCTCTCATGGAAGCAACCTCCAGGGGCCCCACTTGCCTTTCCCCCTTCTCCATGAGGAGGGTTCCCCAGGAGCTGACGCTGAGGCAGGGGGAGCTTTCCTACCCTTGCTCCCTTTTAACCAGGCTTGGGAGTGGGTCAAAGGTCACTGGGAAATACCATTTAGAAAGGAAATGTTTGGGGAAAATGTTTCATTGTTACTGAGGGAGCAAAAGTCAAAGGTCTGCATAGGTTGTCCCTCTTGGAAGGACAGGTTTTGGGGGCACCTCTATATGTGCAGAACAGAACCCAGAAAAGGGTGACTAACACATTTGAAATGTGCCTTCCTCCAACAAAACTTCCTTTTTCTAATAGCGAAGGGAGGTGGGGGAAGTGGGAGTCCTAAACCCACATATAATCCTTACTATTAATTTCATCTGTCTGATCCAATGAAACATGGTCAGAGTAAGATCTGTAACAGCCCTGGCTGCAAAGCTTCTTACAGATGATCTCTGGATCTTCCCTACTTAAGAGTGCGTCAATTCTCTGCTTGGCCTTTTCTCGCTCTACAAGCCCAGGGTTGACATGAAACCTAATAGTAAACAGCAATTAACGACCCCATCAGCATCAGTGCAGGACAAGGGTGGATGGAAAACAGGACCCCTGGCCTGGGATGACGCTCAGATTTGCACGTGTCTCTCTGGGGAAAGACTTGAAGGTTCACACAAGCAACTACACAGTCCGTTGGAAAGGGAAGGAGATGTTGGGGAAGAAGAAAGTGTCCCATCCACCCTCAGCCTTCTGTCCATCGCCCTCCCACCTGCCAGTCCCCAACCCCACTCTAGACATACAGTAGTTGGAGGGTGGGGCGAATGGAAAGAGGAAGCTCTTCCACTGCTAATAAACCCTTCCAGAAAAGGAGTTTGACTGGGGGGAGTTCGGCGAACTTTGCAGAATCTGTGGTCGGTTCCTCTGAGGCCTGTGCCTGAGTGCGCAGGGTTCCTGAAGGGCCGGCAGATGGCCAGCAGCTCTGGGCCGGCCGGGCCCGCACGCTGGCCACGTCTGCTGGCGTCATCCCTCTCCCCCGCCTCCTACCCCTTAAACTCCAGTGTCTGCCTAGCTCCGGGTCCACGGGGGTTTCCGGAGCAAGGCTGAAAGGGGAGGAGAAAGGGGCGGAGAGCGAGAAAGAGGGAGGGCGGAGAAGAGACTATCCACCCCCGACTTTTCCCAGCCAACTAGGTTTAAAGCGCTCACCCCCCCCCACCGCGGGTTGAATTACAGAAGCTCCTGATTGCCATGCTAATAGCGTGAGGAAGGGGGGGGGTGTAGACCCTCTGTGGAGGAGGGAAGTTTCTTTTCTTGTCATCCTCTCCTCCACACCCACCCAGTTCCTCCCAGTTAGTCCTCTGCACACGTCCCTCTCCATTTCGGGCTAGGAGAGGCAGTGGCCCTGCCTTGCCCGGAGCCACCTTTCTCTGAGATCCTTTCAGCCCCCACGACCTCACAGCAGGGAGTGTGGGGTGGAAAGGATCAGGAAGCCTAGGGCGCGGTGTCGGCCGGATTCCCACCCTCCTGACCGGCGCGCTCCCGGCTCCACCGGGATCGTTGTAGCCACCCAGCGAGCTCTGGCCCACTGATTCCCGCCCCAAGAGAGCAGGGAACCCTCATCCCTTCTCACCTCCAGCCAGTTCATCTCAGCACGGTGGAGAGGAGGCGGGGGATGCCGCCTAGCCCCCACCTCCCGAAGCGGGGGGAGGGGTAAACGGAGTCGGGCGCGCGCAGGAGGCAGCTTCTGCTCCCCTTGGTCCCAGCGCTCTGAATCTGCCTTTGCAGCCGCCGCAGCTGCTGCCGCCGACTGCGCTGCCTGGGGGGGCGACTGCGCGTCACCTAGATGGAGGAGCGCCGGGGATTTAAATGCCACTGAAATGGTGATCCATCACCGCCAGAGTCTGCAAACTTTCGCAGGAGGCTCAGCCATTGGCTGGCAAAGTCACGTGCCCCTCCCCCTGCGCCCTCCGCCCCCTGACAGCCCCCCCCCCGCCTCTTGCGCACTGTACATTCATATCATTTTTCTTCTCCGGCCCCATGGAGGAAGTGAGAAAGTTGGCACAGTCACCCGGAGCTTCGCAGGACCCGGTCACTCAGTGACAGATGGACAATGCAAGAATGAGCTCCTTTCTGGAATACCCCATCCTTGGCAGTGGCGACTCCGGGACCTGCTCAGCGCGAGCCTACTCCTCGGATCATGGGATTACAACTTTCCAATCCTGCGCAGTCAGTGCCAACAGCTGCGGCGGCGACGACCGCTTCTTAGTGGGCAGAGGGGTGCAGATCAGCTCGCCCCACCACCACCACCACCACCACCACCACCATCACCACCCCCAGCCGGCCACTTACCAGACTTCTGGGAACCTGGGGGTGTCCTACTCGCACACGAGTTGTGGTCCAAGCTACAGCGCGCAGAATTTCGGTGCGCCTTACAGCCCCTACGGGTTAAATCAGGAAGCAGATGTAAATGGTGGGTACCCCCCGTGCGCTCCCGCTGTTTACTCTGGAAATCTGTCATCTCCCATGGTCCAGCATCATCACCACCACCAGGGTTATGCTGGGGGCGCGGTGGGCTCGCCTCAGTATATTCACCACTCATATGGACAAGAGCACCAGAGCCTGGCCCTGGCCACGTATAATAACTCCCTGTCCCCTCTCCACGCCAGCCACCAAGAAGCCTGTCGCTCCCCTGCGTCAGAGTCCTCTTCTCCAGCGCAGACCTTTGACTGGATGAAAGTCAAAAGAAACCCTCCCAAAACAGGTCAGTCCTCCGGGCCAGCGAAGGCTCCTTGATGATTTTGGAAGGAGCCGGTTAGCTTAGTTTCCAAGGGAAATAAATTATTTTTTAGGTTTCTTGCTCCCGGCTAGTGATGTAGGGTGTGGGGAGAGTGCCCAGGTGTGTTGGGGCAAGAGTTTATGGGACTGGAGTATTTTCAACGGGGCTGAGGTTTAAATGTTCTGGAAGTAGGAAGTGTGTGTGCTGGAGGGCATCGGTGGTGATGGTGTTCTGTTAGTATCTCCAGGCTCCATTAATCACGGGTCTGACCGTGCTAATCGTTGACTTCAGGTTAACACTTTACACCTCATCACTCACCCTCCCCAGCCAGGTTTGTGTTGAGAAGTTCTTGATCTAACCTGTACCTGAATATTGCCCTGAAGCGTGTAAGGGGTCTTCTACAGATTTAAGAATCTTTATCTTTTCCTGTCCTCGCTTCCTCCACTACCCCAGGGAAAGTTGGAGAGTACGGCTATGTGGGTCAAGCCAACGCAGTGCGCACTAACTTCACCACTAAGCAGCTCACAGAGCTGGAAAAGGAATTCCACTTCAACAAGTACCTGACCCGAGCTCGCAGGGTAGAGATCGCTGCGTCCCTGCAGCTCAACGAGACCCAGGTGAAGATCTGGTTCCAGAACCGCCGAATGAAACAGAAGAAACGTGAGAAGGAGGGGCTCTTGCCCATCTCTCCGGCCACCCCGCCCGGAAGCGACGAAAAGGCTGAGGAATCTTCAGAGAAGTCCAGCTCCTCGCCCTGCGTTCCTTCTCCGGGGTCTTCTACCTCAGACACTCTGACTACCTCCCACTGAGGCCGACCTAGCCCCAGACTCAGCAGCCCAGGCTTCTCCCTGGGTTGGGATTTCTTACCCAAAGCACATTCTTACCTTCCTTTTCCATTTTCAGTTTCTTTCCTTTCTGACCCTATCTTGGAGGCTCCTGGCCAGGGTAATGTGTTTCCAGAGAATTCTAGAGACTTGGTTGTACATTATTAACTCCTTAATCTACATTAGGTGCCAATATCAATTTCTGATGGTCCCTAATATCTCTGATTTTAGGTTTTTCACACAACAGACTGTTCCTTTCAGGCGTCCTTTGGAAAAAGAGTTCCCTTTGCTAGCAGAAACACGTCAGAGGGAAGCATCTCACCTTCTATCTAACTGTATATTTACAATTCTCCTCTACTGTTCCCTTAAAAGTAGGATGTAGAGAAAGGCAAGTCCAGGAGCTCACAGAAGAGAGATGCACTATGAGTGTGTTTACACAATTAATTCATCCCTTAATTTAATTGTTTTGTGTTGTGTGTGTGTGTGTGTGTGTGTGTGTTTGCTGGATGTAAATACTTTGTCCTGAGAGATTTATCTTTATACAGATTTTCTAGAAATGTTTAGATAAGGTGATTACATCAGACAGGGTGGGCAAACTCAAAATTGGTACAATTTTATATGTGATTATGGGAGAAAGAATGAAGTCTCTCACCTAATCCCAATTAGATGCCTCAGAGGGTGCCTCAAGTTGTTCTTTCAGTGAGTTAAGAAGACCTACAAAGCACAAGGTTCAGAACCCTGGTTTCCTGTGCTAAGTCTCTTCCCCATCTCTCTTTCTTCTTGTTCTTTGGCCGCCCTCCACTTAAAATTTGTGCTGGATTATTCAGAACCAAAAGGTATTATTCAAATCAACTCCCCCCCACACACACAGTTATCTTAGCTGGATATGATATACTTTCAGTACAATTGTTAATATGATGGATGGCACAATGAATGTATATTTTGTGTGATTCGTGAATAGTCTTTTGCATGTCGCACAATGTTTTGATGTCCCTGAAGTACCACACTGAGTTCTATCAGTTATCCTTTGTGAACTTATGATATTCCCCATTTCCTGTACAATCATGAACAGCTCTGAGATCCTGGAATGATGTGATCCAGAGCAGAGTTTACGGGTCTTAAGATGTCTGTAATAAATATATTCAAGTTTCAGGTATGCTTATGCATCTCTGTATTTGGCTGGGCTACAGTTAGTTTTTTCCTACAAAGTTGGCTCGTTTCATGTGGGGAAGGAGAGAAGGGTGGTATGTATTTTCAAAGTGGGCCTTTTCTCAAATAAAAGTGAATGTTCTCCATTATCAGGTAGCTGAAGCTTCCCCAACCAATGTAATTTCACCTAACCAAAAGAGAATCAATGTGTTGATTCTCTTTAAAATCACAACTGCTCCTTTATTAAAATCAAAGTTCAAAATGGAAAAAAAAAAAGAATGGTGAAGAAATTTATGAAGCAGATCTATTTTTGAAACAAACATGGATACTTCCTGGGTCAAGTGCTAACCTTTTCACCTCCAACTGAATGTTGACATATATATAAACAGAGCCCCCTTCAAAAGCTGAAACAGTCTTCAGTCAGTCTTTCCTCACTTCAGTGAACCAAGAGGGAAGAGATTCACATTTAATTAGCTTTTGTATAAAAATGTGAGGATGGGGCCCCCATCTTACCCCTCTTCCTCCTGTTTGGATTGTCAAGCAGTGTTCCAATATATTCCACCCCCTTTAAATTGAGTGTAGTCTATTTTCAGTAAACCCTTGCATTCCTCCCCCCACCATTCTTTCCGTCAACATCCATCTTCCTGCTGTTCCTCACCCCATCTCTGGTTTGTACATCTCATTCCCTTCAGATTCAGCTTTAATTTCATAGCCATTATGGCTGTAAAGGGTCCACATTCCAATTCCATAACCCAGAAAAAAGTTTTGATTTTCTTCTCTAGGCTTTATAGTTTTTCAAGGTGAGCTTGTGGAAGCCACCTTGAAATCTTTCAATATCCAAGTTGTTTCTAACCAAGGTGTAAATCAGACTTCACACAGAGGAAGCCAGCAAATGACAGTGTTCAAAGTGGCTGTCCTCCCAGACCGCTTGCCACTTTTCCTTTAGTTTCACACATTTTTGGAGGCTTTGAGCCCTAAGAGCAGAGTAGAAAATTTACAGCTTCACAAACAAATACAGGCATATGACTTCCTTCCTCCGCAAAGGGTGTTTTAAAAGGATAGGCTAGGGAGAAAAAAAGTGCAAAAACTTGGAATTTGCAGGCTTTCTAGAGCACCCGGGAGATTTCCTGCACGCCCCTTTAACAAGGACTTTGCCTCGCAGTTGCTGCGGCCATATCAAGGGCACCGGGTGCCCTCCCCTCAGCTGCTGGGTTCTGAGGTTGCCTCTAAAAGACTCAAGTGGATGGAGAGGAACTTCAAAGTCGCCAGCTCTTTCTTTCATTTCCCGCTTGGCCTTATACTGTATCTTTTGTTTATTAGTGTAAGGCCACACAGCAAAACAGATGGCTGTTTTCCAAAAACTTTAATGTGTTAAAGTGTCATTTACATGCCACTGTCTTGATTTCAATATCTAAAAGCAGGGCTGGACCTGCTGGAAATCCCAGAGATTCCAATCTTCAAGGTGCTGGTTTTAATTCAGCTGAGAGAGAAGAGAACGATAAATTATAGCTAAACATCCCTAGCCTTCTCTAGGTCACAGAATAAATCAGTTAACAAGCAATGCATTTAGGAAACATTAATATACCTTTCAACAAGAAAAACATTTGTATCTTTTTAAGCTGTCCCAATCGATTAAATCAAAGGCGCTTAACACATTCTATTTCAAGGTCTCTCTTTTTCTGTTTTGGTCTCTGAGGAGCACAGTTAGCTTCTTGAAAAATGACAGCAATTGTAACTGAAATGACCTAAAGAGGGAGAAGAGAAAATAACATTTTATTGATATGTATAAAAAGGAAACAAGGGTCTCAATTAGGGACCGGGATAACTACAATATAAAATTCGTTTTCAAATGCTTTTTCACTTCCTCTGCACTTCCCCAAGGTACTCCCTAAAATCAGGGTGTCTTCAAACCAGGCTGAGTTGAGGTCTTGCTGTGACTCTGAAGTCTGCTCTGGGCTTCACCTTTGAAAGTTTACTTTTGGAGGCTATTCAGATGCGGTGGTGTTTTCCTCTGGGGCAATCAGATTCAAACCAATCAATATTTACTCAGTCTGAAAGGGTTGTTGAAAAGGCTGCTAACAACAAACTGCTTAGCTGCTCACCCCTGTTTAATCTCAGGTTCACCGAAAGTTCAAGAAGAGATGAATGCAGTGATGGGTCACTTTAGAATGAGTCCCCGCGGTTTATCTGAGCTCTCAGCTAAAGGCAATGATTATAGTTTCATCCCTCTTTGGGAAAGGGGGTGACTTTCCTATTATTCTTTTGCTAAACAATGTTTACTAGAAACTTGAAACACTTTCCTCTTCCCTTTTTTTTTGGAAACTTCCAGCTGCCCTTCCTCTAGTTTCCTACCACCCCACTAGTTTTTATTTGACTTAAATTACATCAAATATTTTAAAAACATTAGTTGACAGAAAAGATCAGATTTCAGATGCCACGAGCTATGAAATGAAACTCTTTGTGCCATTAGAGTTTATCTTTGTGAAAGCATAAGGCAAGATTGAATTGAAATCCATTCGTGTTTGAGTAGTATTGACAATCAGAGCCCCAATATCCATCTGAGATGGCTGTTCAGACAGGGGTGGAGGGGGAATTGACTTGTGAGAAGCACATACTTTGGGTAGAAAGTTAACTTTAAAATTTTATACCATGAATTACTGAGATATGAAAAAGGAAGACCCAAAGAAACCAGTGGGGAATGGTGGGTAGAAGATGCTGGACACTGAAGCTAATTGCTACAGCTCTTCAGAGGTCAAAGTTCATGTAATCACTGCATAAATGCATAGTAAATAGGAATTTATTAAGCTTTCCTGATGGCTGAGCACGTCTGTGAAAAATGGATACTGCTGTTTGTGTTTTTTCCTTAATAATTATCATTCTTGGAGTAGAAGCTGTATGTGCTTGATTCTGATTTATTGTTTTGAGACAAGCAACCATTCTGTTGTAAAAATTTTAGATCTGTGCATGGACAGAATCTTTTGTCTATATTGGATGAGATTCTTGCTCTTAGAAATGACCTGGCTTTTTCATTAAACACAGGAACACAAGTTAGCATGTCCACATCAGATAACCTACTCACTGGATGGCTAACTTTGGTGACTCTGTTGGAGGTAAGCCTACTTTGTGCCTGCCATTTCTGAGCACACACAAAACCTCTGCCTTAGAACTCCTTGTACCTAAATGACCAGAATTGAATGAGACCCATCAACCTAATGTCTTATGTTATGGATCAGGAAAAGGCACCCAGAGGTGTATTGATTTGAAGGACAGCACATTGCCAATAATCAATATTGACCTCCTAAATAAAAACCAGGGTTGCTTACAACCTGAATCCAGTGCACTTTTAAATTCTAAAAATCTGATTTAATTCTGCCCTCCCTTATTTATTTTATGGTTTATGGTGGATATTGCTTAGTTTTTTCTATTTCTGTTCTATTGGCCAGTCATCGGGAGTACTGAATCTTTGAAACAAACTTTGAGTTGAATGTTGCTACCATCTTGCTTGTATAAGAGACAACAGGCAAAATTACACACAACATACTTGTTTTGTTTTTAAACCTAGACTCAGGAAGAATAAATGAAAGTTTTCTACACCATTTGCTCTCCATTAAACTGGCAAGAGTTATCAGTAAAGGCTTTACAATGTAAGGAACATTTCAGGATACTAACCCTAAATCTGTTGGGTTTTTTTTGCCCCCCCCCCCGTTTGCCTCCTTACTTGGACTTGTTCTGACCCGTATTTCTTAATTTTCCCCACATCTTACTCAAGTACCTAACACACATACATATCACCACCACCATTAACATAGTTTCCCTGGAACACAGCTTTCCACTTTCTCCTTTATCTCATCCCTATGAGGTCCTACTAATCTCAGCAGAACCTGTTGCTCAAAGGACATCAAGGGCTGGCAGCGCTTGAAGAGTTGAACTGGAAATCCTCAGTGTTAGTACCTTCTTTTTAATAACACCAGACAGTAAATATAGCTTACCTTCGATTGCAGAACTGCAAGCCAAGTTATCAATCAAGCAACTGCGTTTAATAGGGGTTAGCCCTGGAAGCTTTTGCTTTTTTGGGGGGGAGGGGACAGGGGAGGCACGACACCTGTAAACTCCAATTATGTCCTGGGAAATAACCAGGAAAGACTGCATTTTGAGCTTATTGGAAATAAAAGACCAATGTTTCTTTTTCGGCGTTTCCAGGCACAACTAAAACATGTATCTCCTTTTAAAAACAGCCTATTTTTATTCCTATTAAAAGCGTGTTGTTTTTTTTTTTTAAAGCTTCAATCACAAGGGTAATCTATGAAAATCAGGCTGTCTGATATTTTCATTTTAGGCTTGTGGTTAATTGGTTAGGAAAACAATATGCGACTGCTTGCAACACAAAATGAAAAATTATTGAACTTTTTTTCTTTTCAAATTGGGATTTTTTTTTTTTAACCGCGCTAGACATTTTACAAATTCTGACCTGCTTCATTTTAAAAGAGAAATCACCACACTACCATCAGGAGCGTACAGAAAGCAATGATTTAAAATGGCAGGGACTCCCCTCGCCTCCCTCCCGCAACCGGGCCGGAACGTCAGAAATGCGGTTCCGGTCAAATATGAACGGAGTTTTGCAAACGGGCCTTCTGTAGGACGCTCAGGGCTCCGCCGGAGCCCGGAGCCCGGATTCGGGCAGCGGCGGCCCGGCTGGTGCAAGTGTCCGAAGGGGATGAGAAAGAGCCGGTTTTCCTTCCTTCCTCGTCCGCCTTCTCCCTCCGCGTTCTTCCCCTAACGCCGCCGACCCTCTCTCGGCAGTTGGGGATCCCCGAGGAGAGCGGAGGGCGCAGCATCCGGGCACCTCCCGCGGCGTGCTGGCGTCTCGGCCCCGGCCGGGCGTGGCCCGCGCGGGGCCTGAAGGGAGCAGCATCCGGGTCCTTCCCCGGCGTCGCGCCTCCGGCAGGCTGGAGATCCCCGCCTTTGCCAGCCCGCACGTTCTGGCTGCTTGGGA